TATAAGGCAAAACTTAGTTACTAACTAATTAATAAATGTATTTAAAACTATTTTATTGAACTTATATAAACTGTGTTCTAATAAACCGATATTTGGGAACCTACTTACGAAATTTCAACGAAATCGGACAAGATTTGATGAAAATATACCTATTTTTTTAATAAAGATGCATTTAAAATCTGCAGTTTCCGGAAAACAAACAACAGCGTTGAGCGACCTCTAAATCTTAATAAAATAAGCTGAAATTTTAGAATGAACTTGTCTTCCCTATTATCTTCAAGAATCCGTTCTCAGTCGAAATTCAAAAAAGTTCCAATTTTGAATCACCCTAATATAAAATTAAAACCGCGTATCAAGATAATGCAAAACCTCGTATGTAAGGTTTCCCAAATTTTACTGTAGAGAGTAAAAACCTCTATTATTTCAAAACGGTTATCTCTTTTATCCCTAATAATCTCTTCTTTTTATATATAAACTAGCTTGCTTCGCGGCGCCTGATAAGAACTTTTGCGTTGGCCGATGCCAAAATAGCGTTGAAAGCCAAAATGGTTTGTTAAATAAAATGTGCGAAATCTTCGTCAATGATCTTGCAACTACAACATTGGTCCGATGCGTTATGTAAGCCAATTAAAGTTTTTATAAGTTTTCTGTCACAGCAGGGCCAAGAATCATCGATGCTTCACAGGATGAAAAGTTTTTCCGAACATTGGCTAAATGAGTCATGTGATCTCTTGAATATCGTTCAAATGAATGTGGTCGAATCTCTCCTTACTAATTTGCCACTTTTAAAATTCGTCTTAATATTTAGGCATCCGAGTGCATAATTACTTTAAGTTCTACAAACCTGCAGCAATAACGGCCGCCCGCCCAGAGCAATTTTATCAAGGTGCGTTTACTCAATTTTCAGTATTTCTATGCATACTTAACCCCGTACTTTTTTTAGCCATCAGAAAAGTAAATTCTTTTAATATAAGCATAAGGCCAAATCAGAACCAGCACAAGGGGTTTCTATATTTTTCGGCTGCAGCGCCATCCATTGGGTCTATTTTCTGCAAAAGAATTCCTTACCATGAAATTAATACGCATTATTAATTTCAACCAGATTGTATAAAAATACGGATTTTCTAAATAACTCGGCTCCAGCACCACCTAATGGGACCATTATTCGAAAAGGCATTTGTCTTGCATGCAGGTGGCTCACATTACGAATGTGAACGAAATCGGTTCATAAATACGACTTTCTAAATAACTCTACTCCAGCGCCACCTAGTGAGTTTTCTAGTAGTCCATAATACGACCATGTATGTATGTATCGATATAGAAAATAAGTTCTACCTTTTTGAGGCCAATAAAATTTACTAGGATCAATCAAAACGCTCGAAAATATAAGAAAACATTGATTACATGCCCTTACATCGCTTATCCTGTTTGGGTCAAATCTAGTAATTACAAAACAATAATTTTGGAATTTAAGGAATCTGAACCTGTATAACACTTGAATGGCGTATAATCAAAACATTCTTACAGTTTTGGACGTTTTGATTGATCATAGAATATTATATTATTCTCAAAAGAGTAGAGCTCGTTTTCTTACGTGTTATTCCAATGGGAAAAACAAACACTCGATGCGCGACCTCCTAGACAGGCGATATTCATGGAGGATCATTACTATACCAAATACTATAATCTGAGTCAGATTACGGTCGCATTACAGAATTTTTATTTTTTTTTTACATTGTATAACGTATGTAGATGCATCTGTATCAAATCCACATCCCCCTTTCCAATAAATACCACTTTGCGCAATAAGTACGTTATTGATAACATATGCAGCTGTGTAAAATTTCAGGACGTTATCGTAAGCGGTTCCAGAAATAAACAATATGAGAAGTTCAGTTTGCATGGGAGGTGCCACGCCCTTTTCCAATATTTGCAACTTTTAGCCATAAGTACGGTATCCTTAGCACTTCCAAAGATAAGCGATATGAGAAGCTCATTTTTAATGGGAGGTACCACGCCCCCTTTTCCAATACCTACTACTTTTGCCCATAAGTACATTATTGATAACATAAGTAGCTGCGTCAAACTTGAGGACGTTAGCATAAGCGCCACCAGAGAAAAGCGATATGAGAGTTACATTTATATTCCTGCTACTTTTCGCCATAAATACATTATTGATAACATATGTATCTGTGTTAAATTTTAGGACGTTAGCATAACCGGTTCCAAAGATAAGCGATATGAGCAGTTCAGTTTGTCCATTAAGTCAGCCATAGTGGTCATAAGAAAGTCATTTAATTTCTATATGTATACATATACCATTCTCCCAGTGTATAAGTGCTAGGAATATCCCGACCCCAACGCCTCCTATCGTGTAATTTTTTAGTCCAAATATTATTTTTCAATTGGCTAACATACATACATATGTTCTAAATATGAGCCAAATCTGCAACTAAATGCAGTTTTTAGGAATATCAAGACCCCAGCAGCACCTAGCGGTTAAATTTTTAGTCTGAATATTTCTTTCTAAGGTGCTGACATACGTTCCAAATATGAACACTACATGTCGGACTTTACATGCCAAATGCCATTTCCCACGGCATCCTGAATTACTTTGTTCGCTCCCCCAATTACGATCGCGAATCACCCCATTCCCACGGGCACATTCTTAATTCGATTTGACAGTTCGGTGTCCCTGTGTGTTTTATTTGTTTTTCTTCGCTGCCAAATTAATGCAAAATGTAGGTTCTTTCTAAAAATGTATAAGTCTCCGTATTAAATTAGGGATATCTAAAAACTTTACTTTACATACGTACTCAGAAAAAATGCAAGTTTTAATTTGTGAGCTAGTTTCGATAAATTTCCGATATAAATCAGTGACGGCACCGATTTGTTCGTAATTGGCATGGTAATTAGATCTGATTTACCAACAAATGAGGCAATTCGCTCTCAAAAATTTGTATGGCGAATTACGTAATTCAAAGGGTAATTGGAGTGCGAATTACGAATGAGAGAGCGAACTACGTAATTGGGGTGCCGTGGGGAAGCCATAAAAGACATTTCTTTTATATATATATAGATATCGATATTTTAGTATGAATTGAAAAGAGCTTGATGTCAGGAGCTTCCGGGGAGTAAATACCTATTTAGCATAAATATCAGTTACGAGGTTGCTTCCTTCGAAGATTTGAATCACGTAATTAGACAATTAAATTAATGGCCATATTATGCAGACAACATCCGAATTTTCTTTTTTAACATGCATGTACATTTCGAAATAACTGGCAGTTTTGATCCAATGTGTTTGACAATTTATGTTAACAAATACCAAAATCGTAATCAGCGGAAAACAAGAAATTGCGGTACTATGTAGCCTCAGTAACCGACAGTCAGTAGCGAGTGCCCAAACGTAATGCGAAGTTTATGGCCTTATTATGTATGGCAACTGGTATCTAGTTGCTGGTCTATTAGCCGTGGCTACCAGTATCGTACTTTGTATTATGTGTAGCGATTAATCTCAGTACATAGAAAAACGCAGACATCCGAATTTACTTTTTTGGAATGTACATTTCGAAGTAATTGCCAAATTTGCTTCAATGTGTTTAACAAATTATGTGAACAAATAACAAATTCGTCATAAGCGGAAATTTTGTATGTGGTTGGCCGTCGGCTATCAGTTTCCATACAAAATAGGGCCATTAGTATACGTACATATGTCACATTTTTATATCATCAAAACTGAGTTGAGTTCAAAGAAAATTGTTCAACGAAAAAATTATAAGATTTTGATCATCATACAGTTCCATAAGTAAAGTAACTCTTCTGCCACCGTTTTCTGGCAGGCTGTAGGTGTGTTTTTGATTAATGTATTGGTGTTCTTGGTTCAGTGTGTTACGTGTATTTTGAATAAATTGTAATAGAAATGTAAGAAATTGTAAAAGATAAGAGCACATGCCAAAACAGGTGATCTCAGCTGTAGTCATTTTTTGGCAATCAGCTGATAGTGTTTTTACTTGAAACGGTGCGATGATTTGGATGTTAAATTTAAACAAGTAATTTTTAAGCAAATAAAAAAACTTACTTCAATCTTAATATATAAAAATCCCGTGTCACTGTGTTCGTTTACGCTAATCTTCGAAACCGCTTAATCTAATTCAATAAAATTTTGTGGGTGTGTATTGTTGGCTCCAACTTAAAAGTCAGGACAGTTTCGAACCCAAAATAATTTTTTTTTTCATCGAAATTTTTTCTTTGCTTCTCGCAACGTTCTTAAAAATCCCGTGTCTATACGTTCGCTTACGCTAACCACAAACTGCCTATCTCCGAAGCGGGAGCTTTCCAAGGGTTTTCGCGGCTGCGCTTCATATGTATGTTTATGTTGGGGAGAAATAGGTAGGACAGCAACAAAATATTTATACATATAAACATGCGCACATCAGCAGCAACAAAAAATTTACCGTTTGGACACCATCCAATGTTATCCATTCCTCTGGCTGATGTTTGAACCGTAACCAGAGATGTTTTTTTTTTCAAACGAGAACAATAATAACAATCTTTTGTGAATTTCGATAGCAAATGAAACGTAAGAAACAATATGGGACTTCACACCGAGCTCGCGTACCAAGCTTCGGTGTAAAGATATCTACGATGCAAGTAACCTGCCTATGTATCGGTGTGTGGCAGGACAACGTATGTCTGGGCTTACTAGTTTTCATATAAAAATTTAAGAGATAACACCTTTCCTTTAAAAAAATTCTCGAATTCTAGAAATCGGTTAACGTGGTCCAAAAAAAAATATTATTCCGACGAATCGATAACCTTTCTCCTTTTTGTGATGTCGGTTAAAAAAAGAGCACGAAAACTAGATAACGTGAATATAATTTAAAACTTATTCTAATTTAGCATTTCCTTACCCATTGCGTGTATTTCTGAAAACACTTTCTCTTCTCTATTTAACTCGTAGTATAATTCATCATAGCTGTTTGTTGTGGCTAAAAATGTATCTCCATATGTTATAAATAAGTTAAAAATATTTACCACCTATTCAAAGAACTAAAAGAGTATATAAAGATTTCGACTTAAAAGAATCATTATTTACCTGGAGTGATAAATAAAATATATTACATTTCTTCACCAACGTTTGCTCCTGGTTTACGAGAAACCGAAGTAAACCGATTAAAGCTGACCACAACTCTTTCCATGGATAATTTAAGCGAACTCTGCATCGCTTTTGATAGCACAACACACGATGAATGATACCAACACAAAGTAAATACAACTCCATGGGGAACTTTTTCATTAAATGTGAAACTATAAACTCTACAAGTAAATCGAGCAAAGTAGCCGCTAGTGGTTGTGATTTTCCAACACGATCAACATGTAGCTTTCGATGGCGCATTTGGACACGATGTAACATAACTTTGAATGTCAGATTGATATCATGCATCATTGAATTCGCATACTGATCCTCTGAAATGCACGTTAATATAAGAAAACACAGTTTCAGATTCGCTACACTGAATTCATTTTTATTATCCTGCATAACAATGGAACTGTAATATACATAGAAACGCTATTTACTGAAAATAAACATTCTCATAGATTCTATTTTTTGTTCACATACCAATATTGAAAAACCGCTACCAGCAAATTAGTCGGATACTGTGTCATATCAATTATAGGAGTACTTGCCAAATCAGGTAATGGTTGTGTCAGACTTAAAGTATTACTAGGCGATGGAGGAGCACTCGACTCGGCTTGGGTGTGAGCTAGTGTAGTAATAAAGTTCCGATTAAGGTGGACAGCTTCATATAGGGCTAATAAAAGTCCATTGTTGGCTTTGATTTGCTGCACACGTTCACATCCTTCGTCTGAAACAAACATATTTCCAACAATGTTTGATAATGAGGAAAACCAAGATGAAGACTGAACATTCGATAAGCTTTGCATGTATTGCCGACAAAAGTCAATCAAAGATTGTGATATCATCTGCCCATAACTGCAACAAAACAATGAAAAATAATTTAATTAATCTTCCTAATTAATACGAATAGTAACAAATAATTCATTAAAGTATCAGATGTGATATTTAATTTCACGGCATTTTACATATGGCACACATTTTGTTATATTTCCCTACCCCTATACATATGTACACTCTTATTTTAATTAATAAAACGTTAATTATACCCATTGAGCGCCATATCATCTGCCAATATAGATAACTGAACCACATATGGGTTGGTCGTTTCATGCTTTCTATAATTCACCAAAATAGTCAGTAGAATAACAATATCATGTCCGTGTTGTGCCCGTAGCGAAGGATCGCTAAGTAAATGAACGAAGGCATCGAAAAGAGTGTGCATTGTAAGGTACTCCAACAGGACATTTTGACTAACATTGTCAGTACCTGTCACAATTACCAGCAGCAATTTCAGGCACATAAATCTGGTGCTTTCTGTAGCTTCACCTGAAACAGTTCATAAAGTTAATGGTACAATTTTTATGTATAAAACCCACAGACACACCTAATAGTATTTGATTGCAATTATTCATCAACTGCCTCATACTATTATCCATTTGCTCGTAGCCAAATATTTCATTCATAAAAATAAACGAAGGATCTGCTGACTTTTTGAATATTGCATAGAACAAAGAACAAAGAGTTTGAAGGCTGTTGCACAAGCGTTTTGGATGATCTGCAAAAAACTAGGATACAAAACTGGGAACAAATGCAGAATAGCTCCAATTCTCAAATAAAAAAATATGGGGGCCGATAGAGATCATTGAGCTGAACATAACGGTATACTTTTTTTTTGCGGAAACAACAACTATAAGAGTTATCAAAAGTCAAAGTTCAAAAAAAGCATTTTTTAAACAAAAATGTCTCTAATTTCCATGCATAAATTTTAAAAATTTTGGTGCCATTTCATAGCAAATTTCATTTTCTTTAATTTGATATACGTACAGTATCGGACATATCATTTGCAACAAAATTCAAAATGCTATTGTTTGCCACTTACATAAGTCTATTTATTTATTTTTAAGAATTTTCATTCAAAATATATCGTCACCTAAGTGGAAGGTCGACCTGTCTTGGCATCCAGCTCGAAAACGCCCTATCTCAGAAAACTTTTTAAGAACACCCTACTGCAGAATTTGATAGAAGAACACCCACCCTATTTCATAATTTTTTTTTTAAACATCCTATCTCAGAATTCGGTTGATGAACGCCCTATCTCATAATTCGGTTCAAAAACGGAATATCTCAGCAGAAAATACATTGAGAATGGGCTGAGATAGAGCGTTTTTGAGTCGGCAGCTGAGATAATGTGTTCTTCAACCGAATTCTGAGAAAGGGCGTTTTTCAATCAAATTCTGAAATGGGACATTCTTCAATCAAATTCTGAAGTAGGGCGTTCTTGAAAAGTTTTCTGAGACAGGGCGTTTTCGAACTGTCGGCCGAGATAGGTCGACCTTCCACTCAGGTGACGATGTGTACTTAGGCCTATAACAGAAACCACATAAATAATTGTTTTACTCATGATACAAAAAACAAGGTAGTTCCATTGTCACTTTTTCGTCGCCATTGTCGCCGTTGTTAACCTGACAATTAAGCAGATTGTGACATTTCGTGCTACCATACCCAATATCTAAATTCCTTCAAATTTTCTTATTAATTTTTGGTCGATTTAAAAATCTTTGTTCTTAAGCATAGTATTTTATTCCTATTTCACGTGAAAAAGTGTGAAATTCCACAACATTTCCTCAGCAAAGTAGTATTCTGTTCACGCTGTGAAAAAGCTTGCAACATTTTTGCGAAATGAAGCTAGCAACACAATTTTCATGATATTTTTAAATACACGTACATTTTAAATTGTGTGAAAACTGACAGTTTATAGAACTCAGTCGCGGCGGGTTAAGTGGTTAAACCTTACCCAAGCCGATCGTAAAACTTGCGACGCAATTTCAGCTTATGCCTGTCGGTCTTGGCAAGACCTCAAGGTTTAGCTTAACATGGTTCTAGGGATACACAAAAAAAACATTAAACATTAAAGAACATTAGACTTCATTCTCTCAACTTCTCAGAAAATAGAAAAGCTAAGAAATACATATATAATAAGATAGGATATATTAAAACAGCCTCCAGAACATTTACCAAAAGAAGCCCCTGAACTACACAAATCAGTTTGATTGGAAATTAGTTTTTATCTATTTATTTTATTCTTCACTTTTGGGTGTGTCATAATTTCATCTGAAAATAATATGTGTTGCTGGAAAAATTTGCTGTTAAATGGACAAAGACAATATGTATTAAATAACACATCGAAATGTATAATTTCAGTGTCTGAATTATATCAGAATCATCGTATCAGATATAGAAAACTACATTGTGAAATAATCAGATGACATGAGGACACTAAAAAAATTTTAAAATATGTTCACTAATTGTATTAATATTAAAATAATGATTTGGCAAGTTGTTATCGAATTTAATGTAAAATTAAAACGTTTTTAAGATAAGATATTAATTATTTTTAAAAGGTAAATATTAACACAACTATTTTATTTATAATCCCAAACTTAGGATATAAAATCTCCCACACCAAAAAACTTGCAATTGGGTAACGCCGCTTAGAATTTTTCACAATGGTGCAATTGTCAAAAATCTGCTTTTTAATCAAAAAGTTGTTTATTGAAACTACCTTCTTTTTTGTATCATGGTTTTACTATTATCCATTTGCTCGTAGCTAAATATTCCAGTCATAAAAACAGGGATCTGCTGACTTTTTGAATATTGCATAGAACAAAGAACAAAGAGTTTGAAGGCTGTTGCAAAAGCGTCTTGGATGATCTGCAAAAAACTAGGATACAAAACTGGGAACAAATGCAGAATAAATAAAAAAAAATATGGGGCCGATTGAGCTGAACATAACGGTATACTTCGTTTTTTTTGCGGAAACAACAACTATAAGAGTTATCAAAAGTCAAAGTTCAAAAAAAGCTTTTTTTAAACAAAAATTTCTCCAATTCCCATGCATAAATTTTAGAAATTTTGTTGCCATTTCATAGCAAATTTGATTTTCTTTAATTTGATATACGTACAGTATCGGACATATCATTTGCAACAAAATTCAAAATGCTATTGTTTGCCACTTACATAAGTCTATTTATTTATTTTTAAGAATTTTCATTCAAAATATATCGTCAGGTGAGTGGAAGGTCGACCCATGATACAAAAAGAAGGTAGTTTCATTTCAAAATTTTTGACAAAAAATAAGTTTTTGAAATTTCATAAATTTTGCAAACTTGTGAGCTGCCTTGCCACATTTATAGCAATCAAACAATACATTGGAGGATTTAATGTTGTACATGGGGAATATTTAGGTTATTTGTACAATGATGTTATGGTGGGGAGCGGAGGGAGAAGGGGTGTGTCACCTTAAACTACACTCATTAAAAAGAGCATAGTATAAAATTTAAGAAAAGCCATCCTTTTCCTCCCTGCCCCTTCTACCGGAACTTGGGGGCCATTTCCAAATGGGGAGAAATTAACATTTTTGCAAAGAAAAATTAAGCTCGTGTTAGGCCATCAACAGTATTTTTGGTGGCCTTCGGCCGCGCTAGAAAAAATAGCCTCATCAGTCCAACTCCAGTTACGCCATCCACGGTATTTTTGCGCGAAATCCACCTCCAAATTTAGAAAAAAAGTGCATATTTCAAACCGAAATTTATTTATTTCGTTATTTATTTAATTAATTAAGCCAAACACACAACCATAAGTTATTTTTACAATGTTTGACCTTAAAACTAGATTACATCTTTGTTTTAAATTAAAGCTTAATTCTTTGGCTGGACGAATATGTTAAAATTTTTTGATTCGGATCACGCGTTTGGACACGATAACCCAAAAGCATTGCACAAATAACCGAACCGTACCCGAACTATCTTACTCATGCAGTCTATAAACAAAAATTTTACAAAATGAAACTGCAGTAGTTTTCATCTTATGTAAACAATATCTTGTCACAAATACATAGTTTCGTGCTTATAATAAAATATCTACATATATTTTTTATCAGCGCCACATCTTTATCAGAAAATTCCGAGGACCCAAAAATTGGCACTGTTACAAGTTGCAGGGCATCATTTTAGCTCGACCTCCTCCCTCTTCCACGGATAACGGTTACTCGTTTAGGTTTAAAAATGTCAATAAATGAAACTACCTTCTATTTTTGTATCATGGGTCGACCTGTCTTGGCATCCAGCTCGAAAACGCCCTATCTCAGAAAACTTTTTAAGAACGCCCTACTGCAGAATTTGGTTGAAGAACACCCTATTTCATAATTTTTTCAGAATTCGGTTGATGAACGCCCTATCTCATAATTCGGTTCAAAAACGGAATATCTCAGCTGAAAATACATTGAGAATGGGCTGAGATAGAGCGTTTTTGAGTCGGCAGCTGAGATAATGTGTTCTTCAACCGAATTCTGAGATAGGGAGTTTTTCAGGGTTCGTATTTGCACACACATGCTCTGCTCACACACACGCCAGAAACACATTCAACTTGCACTCACTGCTCATACACATGTGTGTGCATAAGTGGAAAACAAACTCTACTCACAAAAAAGTGTGTGCCGTTTGTTATTAAGCACATGCACATGTGTGTGAGCCGATTTTTGTATAAATTTCAGCCCATGCACATGCACATAATATATTCTTAAAAGAATTTGTTTATTAAACGTTATTTTTTGAAAGACAATTCAATAAAAAGTGAGATGTTGTTTGTTTTTTATATGACAGAAAACATATTAAAAATTATTTTAAGATTTGAGTTAGAATGGTACAATAAAAACAGGTAGAAGCCAAATTGACATCAAACCTACAAAAGTCAAAGTTTTCGTGAGAGTAAAAATAAAAATGAGCGTGTGTAAGGAAAAATTGAAAAATTACATTTCGCTGGTTGACGTTTTTAAGTAAATTTGAAGTTTTGTATTTATTTATTTATTTTCTTTAGTTAAAATTTGTTTAAATTAAAAATATTTCTATAAATATATCGCGTTTTAACAATGCTTACTCAGTTTGTGAAGCGCGATCATTTATTAAGCTTTCACAACTTGATTTATGAGTTGCAGTGTTGTTGGGAGGACTTTCCGGCATAAGGGTCATAGGAAGAGCACTTGGCATCAAACGTGCCTTTCCTGTACCTCCTGGTGCATTTATGAAATCTGCTGCTTTAAAATGCTTAACGCACAGCAAGGCATTTCGCTGCAGCTCTACCCCACAGCTGCTTTCCCAACGCTCCTTACGCCGAGGGCATTGAGGCACGTTAAAAAAATTAGTGATGTCTGCATTATATTTAACACCACATAAAAAACAACGCTTCAGGTGCTGCATTTTTAACACATACACTAAGTATAAACCGCACAACACTACAAAAATGCAATGTTAATTAAAATTTGTTTTTAACGAACATTCAAAAAAGAAACAAACGACATGACATTTTAAGCCATGGTACCATGATACAATAATTTTTAGAAGGTAGTTTCACTTCAAAATTTTTGACATAAACCGTGTCTGTGACAAACACGCAATGTGGCCACTGCTACGATATAGAACTTGGGGATTTTCGCTTGTTATTTTAGATATTTTTTAACAGAACATGTAAAGATTTATATGTTTCATAACTGATCACTTAATTTTAAATATAAATTAAATAAAGTAAAAATTGCGATTTTTGGCCATTTTTCTAACCGGTCCGTAGGGAACCATAGGAGGCCTAGGTGGTCGGGGGTTGCATTTTTGTCAATGGCGGTTCATGCCCTCTCCAAAAAGG